AATTTGGGTCACAAAAGAAAACCAGATTCATAGTTTCAGTATTGGTTACATACAATAAAAGGTAAAGGAGTCATTGATAAAACTTGCATGATTGAACATTTAATACAAATTGATAAAATAAACGAATTTTGTTATTTCAATTTTGAAATTCCTATGTATTATTTATGTCGTTTTTACCTAACCTTTTATTAGGAAGCCACTAAGAAATCTTTTTTGAACCTACGAAACAAAGTAAGTACTAAAATTATTAATAAGCCCTGAGATATATAATTTATAAATTTTTTGTTTTGATTTTTTGATTTTGAATAATTAGTATATTATAATAGTAAATTAATTAATTGGAGTAAATTATCTTCACAAGTAAAAATAAAGTCAAAAATAGAACATAACAATATAAATATATATATATATATATATATATATATATATATATATATATATATATATATATATGGAAAAGGATAATGCGAGTGAATAATAAAAGTAAAAAAGTAATGGCATGTCGCGCAAAACAAAAAACCAACGTTGAGCTTTCGACATCCCTTTCGATGTCTTCTTCAGGAATTCCGAGGTCTCAGTTTCCGAGCCCCCGTTTTTAGTTATCTGGACAATTCCTTCCGCTTCGCTTTTTGGTCGATATCTCGCCCTTTTTCAGGGCGATTTCAGCTATGGGATAAGATAATAGTTTTTTGTTAATTGATCAATGTACCAATCAATAGCAATTAATTAGAAATAAAATATGATGCCAAGATGAGCTCTGTAGCATTATTTATTGCTGAGCCAATCTATTTTATAAGGCAGAATTTCGGCCTTATAAAATGGATATGCTAACTTTGCAGACATCATAACGAGGTCAGATGATTCTTAAATTCCATAATTTATTTAAATAATAAATTTTCTAATTATGATGAAAATAAGTTGACGATTCTTCTTCTTCTTCCTATGCCGTCCCCATTAACGGAGGTTGGCGACCACATTTTTAAAAGCTTCTCTGTCTTTTGCAACGTGGAATAATTCGTCTACAGTCATGTTTGTCCAGTCTCGAATATTTCGCAGCCATGACTTCCTTTTTCTACCTATTCCCTTTTTGCCATCGACTCTACCCTGCATGATGACCTGCAGAAGACTATATATAAGTTGACGATAAAGGACTAAATTTTTAAGGGAACATACAAATTCCCAGCTCGAAAAATGGACACACTTAAAAGAGTGGTAACAACCAACTGTGGAGTAGCTTGCTTCAAATACTATAAGACGTTTTTCCCAGTTCTTGTCTGAAGTTTTCTGAGTCAGTCGAATTTGATTTTCTTTTATGCATTTAATGATATATTGACATAAATTGTTTTAAAAATAGTTCATGCAGCGCCGGTTGTATCTATAGGTTCGACATCATGAGTGAATATGGATGAGGGTTTTTTGGTTTTCTTTTATGCCATTGGTTATTTAAGGAGTATATGTATCTATTGATCGTTAGCGTGGGTTTCTTCAACCAATAAAACTGAATAATAGTTTCCTTGATAATGCTCTTCGAATGAATATTCTCGGATCGCTGGTCTTTATTATTATTGTTATTAACGTCAAAACTATATTATGCATAATATGTTAAGTAGCAATATAATAGACCACTAAAAATGTTGGAAAAATTGACAGAATACCAAATTGATTATCGGTATATAAATTTAATTAATCACTTATACCATAACGCAACAGTTAGTGTTAGAGTGGGTGATCGTCAAACTCAAAAATGCCCGATATAACTTGGATTGCGTAAGGGGAACACCATATCACCGAAAATGTTCACTGCGCTTTTGAAATATATATGTAAAAGGGCAAAACTGATGAAAAGGGTATAAACATAAATGGAGAAAAGCTCAGCCACCTGAAGTTTGCAGATATTATCATGCTAATAGCTGGTAGGATAGATGGGGCTAAAGAACTTTAAAAGCTTTACCTTTCCTCGCTAAAAAGGGGATTGAAAATAAATACATGTAAAACCCAGCTGACGACAAATATTGTAGTCAGCGAAGATAAATGCGTAGGAACGAGTTTTGTAGATCAGATAATGGCCTATAATTTTCATCACGACATTCTCGTAGAAAAACATAACCAAACCGTTGTTAAAACAAGTTAAACCACATTTTCAAATCGTCCGACATACCAATATGTCTTAAAAGAAAAACCTTTAATCAGCGTGTTTTGTCATAAGCGAATGGGATTAGAGATTAATACCAAAAAGACAAAATTCATGATCATCTCCAGAAACTTGGATGCACTTGAAAACTCCACCATAACACTGAATAGTAAATCCATTGAAAGAGTGAGTAAATTTAAATACCTGGGATCGTGACTTTTTGAAGACTGGGCATTGGACAGGGAAGTAAAATGTCGCATTGAGCAAGCTCGACAAGCTTTCGTAAAATTCAAGAAGGTACTTACTTGTTCAGAGTTCGATCTTCAACTGAGACTAAGGTTTACTAAGTGCTACGTATGGCCAGTGCTGCTATATGGCGTAGAGGGCTGGACACTCAAAACGAGGGATATAAACATATTAGAAGCTTTCGAAATGTGGCTTTATCGCCGTATCCTAATAATACCATGGACAGCGAAAATCACAAATATAGATGTCCTTAAAAGAATAAACCAAGAACGCCAACTTTTCGAAACCATCAAGAAAAGGAAAACGGCGTATCTAGGTCACATCATGCGAAATGAAAAATACCAGTTCCTCCAACTTATAACCGAGGGTAAAATTGAAGGCAAGAGAGGAATGGGACGCAAGAAAATGTCCTGGCTCCGAAACATAAGGCAATGGACAGGGATTAACGACATACAATCTCTGATACATATTGCAAGAAATAGAGAATTAATGGAAAATGTGATCGCTAACATCCATTAGTGGATTTGCATCTGAAGAAGAAGAAGTTTTGTCAGTGTTGACTTACGGAGCGAATACTTTGAATGTGTGAAGGAGAACAGTGAAAAAGATTAGGGTCGCTCAAAGGGAACGTGCTATGTTGGGCATTTCAATACGAGACAAGGTCCCAAACCGTCAGATACGACGAAGATCAGCAGTGGCTGAAGCTGTAGACAGAATAGCAACTTCTTCTTCTTCTTATGGTGTCCTATCCAATTAGTTAATGTTGGCGACAATTCTGGAATACTCCTCTCGATCTTTTGTGGCTCTAAAAAGTGCATGGGCATCGAGGTTTGTCCAATCCCTTATGTTTTTAAGCTATGAGTATTTCTTTCTTCCGATGCCTCGTTTTCCCTTCTATCTTCCCTTCCATAATAAGCTTTAAGAACTGGTACTTGGAATTATGAAATATATGACCAAGATAACCAGTTTTTCTTCTTTCTATTATTGGCAGCAATTCACGTTCTCTGCCCATTCTATTTAATACTTCGACATTTGTTGTGTGATCTGTCCAGGGAATTTTAAGTAGTCTTCTAAATACCCACATTTCAAAGGCCTCTAATCGGTTCATCACATTGACCTTTATGGTTCAGGTTTCTACACCATATAGCAGTATGGAGTAAATGTAACATTTTACAAAGCGATATCGAAGCATTAAGTTGAGGCTGCTGTTGCTTAGTAAGTTTCTCATATTAGTAAATGCTGTTCTGGCTTGCTCAATCCTGCTACGTATCTCTATGTCTGGATCTAGATCTTCAATTATCCTACTACCGAGATATCTGAACTTGGGGACTTTTTGGATGTTCTTGTTGTTTACTCCTATATTCAATTGCATATTTCGTGTTCTACTAACCATCATTACCTTCGTCTTGTCTATATTAATCTTCAAGCCCACTCGTTCTCCTTCAGTGTTTATTCTATCTATTAGTCGTTGTTGCGCTTCTTGGCTATTAGCTATTATGACTGTATCATCAGCATAGCGAAGATTACTAATAGTCTTTCCGTTGATTTTGCTTCCATCTTCAGTGTCACTTAAGGCTCTATCGAAAATCGTTTCAGAGTAAAGATTAAAAAGGAGGGGTGACAGAACACAACCCTGTCGTACACCTTTTTCGATTGAGGAACATTTTGTAGATTCCAGTCCCACTCTCACAGATGCCACTTGATTCATATAAAGGTTCTTTATGATTTTAAGGTCATTCTCATCTATCGAACGTTTCTGGAGCAATCTTATTAATTCTGACTGATTAACACAATCGAATGCTTTCTGGTAATCTATAAAGTATAGAATAGCAACACTGAATTAAAACTGGTCAGGTCACGTGGCTCGAATGACAGATAACAAATGGAGAAAGCGGATACTTGAATGGAGACCAAAAGATGATGCTTACCGAAGTAGAGATTGTTAACCAACACGTTGAACTGACGATGTCCAGCAGTGGACAAGCGAAGATTGAATGATGCTGTTAACCAGGTATTGTCCAGTTGGTTATGTATGTTGTAATTGTTAGTTTTTAGGTACAAATCTTAACATTTAAGGACTTGAAGACAAAGTATTTTGTTTATCCTGATGCCCATTGAAGAAATGCTGTTTATTATGAATTTCAGCAATGGTTGAAAAGTTTCAACTAACTCGGTTTCTAACGGATGCATGCTTATTTTTAAAATCTTTTAGCGTGGGAGAATCTTATTTTGAAACTTAGCTTTCCCATTTCATATTAGCTATTAGGTACCGCCCACTAGTTTAAGGAAACGAAGTCTTTTAATTAATTTATTTCCAAATAATATAGTAAATATGCAACAAAAAAGCAGCTTCAGAATCAAACAAATGTTTATTGCTAACAAATCAAATTATGTTCCTAATAGTAAAAGGAAATTTTTGTACCTATACTTGTATTCCATAATACAAAGCATCGATATAAGAACCTCTATGAAAAGTTGTAATTATTATAGTTTAATAAAGCGTAAAACTTTCTTATACGGAAAATATGTACACCTAGAGGAATCTTTAATATATATATTTATTTCGATAATAATACTAATAGCTTATCAATAGACAAGAATCGGATATGCTTTCTCAACTCACCTTTCATTAACAGAGATGCGAAAGAAAGTAGCACAAAACAGCTATTCCAACACATTTCGAATAATAATTTAACACTACAAAACCACTAATCACACCAGGCATAAACAATTAATAAATTAATTAGAGATTCAATAATTATTTTCACACACGAATCACACGCGAAGCAAAGGTATTTTCATGTCTAACCTAGCATTGAAATCACCAAAATTTTTCGACGTTTTAACATCATTAGAATTGATCAAGTACCACAAAACACAAACTGTTTTATTCAGAACGAGGAAGTATTATCCGAAATAATTAAATCGTTTTCTGACTACTATCATTTGTTTATTTTTTCAACGAAAATAACAACAGCCATACTCGCAACACTGCGCTATGGCAAAAGCACGGTAAGAACTGACAATTCCACGCAAGGTGAGGTTGTCAGTCGTACCTAGACGGGTTCGTCTTTTTTAGAAAGTAACGCCAATGAGTGTAACGGTACTACATCGCGGTAATTTTAAATGTAAACATTAGTGATGGTGTTAGCGATTGAAGAGATAATATAGTTGGTCTGATATTTGGAGTGCATACCGGACACTCTTTTTAATAAATTCCGAAGAATGATATATCTTATGAATGTTATGTGCCAATATTGCGTAAAATTTATTTATGTAAACTACCATATGAAAGAAAATTAGAATTAAATAATTATTGAACATAAAATAAATTAAGAATAATTAATATTCTAATAGAAGGAGAAAAAACTTATCAGAAAGATTATATATTGTTTTTTGAGTTTATTTCATTAATAGTTCTTTTAATTGAAAGACCAGAGACAACGTTTTTTCCCTAATAGCACAAATGTTTAGTGGACATCCATAGTACGTCCTTCGCGGATTTTAAGAACGTCTCTCGAACGTCCGCTTTGGTCCCAAGGACGTCCTTTTAACGTCCCATATTGGTCCGAATATCGCTATGCCAAACGTCCATTTAACGTCCTGAGCGGACGTTCGTTGGACATACAGGGACGTTATCTGAATCTTAATCAGACGTCCTGTGGACTTACTTAAGAGACTTTTGGGATGTCCCTCGGACGTCTATTTTAGCGCTGAGAAATCACATTAGACGTCTAACGTCATCGTACGAAGTAAAATTTGTTTGGCAGAAAATGATTGACTTACATTAGTGCGGTCGTAAATATTATTAAATTTATCTGACTTGGCCCATTGTTAAGACCTTGTACCTCAGGTAAACCATTGTTACCCGAAACCAGACCTTTTATACTATTATCGGTTAACCCATGATGTTTATAGTCGGCACTTATTGAAGTCAACCATTTACTGCTAAACAAACTTTACTAAAAGTGCGTCATCCTGTTCATATCAATAATGTATTTTGGCAGTGCTATAGTTTGCGCAATCAGTTCTATCTCTCTTTTATGTATAGGCATTATAATGGACTTTGTTAATAATAATTTGCCAGTCATGGGGTATTTCTTAGACGTCCCACACTTCTACTATTAACTTACGAACTTGGGTTGGTAAAGCTACTTCTCCATATTTTAAGTTCTCTGTCACAATACCGCATTTCGAAGAGCTTTTTGGTTTTTCATATCTTTATTATTCCTTTAATTTCTTCTCTTGTGAGATTTGGTATTTCTTCTACTACTCTATTTGGCGTTATTAAAATAACATCTCAGGAGCTTGGAAGCGTAAACAGGAACTGCAAAAACACGTTTCTGGAAAACTGAGTAATGTAAAGGGGGCAAACATTGACACATCTTCATAATTTTTGTTTTACACACTCAATGACTTGTTGAAAAATGATAGCCACAAGAACGCTGAGGACTGCTATATCTGCGACACTAATTGCTGTTAGTATAGATTAAAAATCTTCACACATTTTTGTACAAAAAATAAGTCTGCAGGGTGTTACAGGTGTCAATGTTACACCGTATTCGGTACAACATTGACACCCACTTTAAAATCCATTTCTGGAGCAATGTTGCCCGCGTGCAGGGTAAAATTGACATTGAAAGTGACTGTAGTTTATTCAGAAAAAAAATGCCAACCCCCTAAGAATATTTTAATGCACGAAAACAGTTAGAATATAAACGTTTACAAAAAAACAGAAGATAATCTTTTATTTGTAGACTAAACTAATTGTTATTGCACTTAGAAAGCTTAGATTAAAACTACATTGTATTCAGAAACAAATACACAAACGAAATTTCTTATAAGTTGCCTTAGCCATTGATCAAGATCGTGCATCAGGGCGGCTGGGCTTCTTTGCGAAGGGCATCTGAAATCACAAAAGGGGAATAAGATTAGCAATGTTATTCTTAAACAAGCTGGCAAAACTGAAAACTGAAACAGGTAGAAAACTTACTTGCTAATAAATAATGATTCCAGGCTTAAAATCTATTTTGAAATAATTCTTTCCTCTTTGGATTACAGGGCTTTCCAGAACTTGCTCAATGTCGCTTAGTTTTACATCAGCCTTGTCTTGAACGTCGGGGTACACAAAATATAATTGTTTCTTTCTTAGGAATTTAACCTTAAATGTATTTTTTTCTACATTTATAACTTTACCAACGTAAGAGATAATGTCCTTTTTGTTGTAATATTTGACAAGAATCCAAGCTCCGGCCAAGATCAATGGCTGATCCATATTTGTACTGGGAACTGTACTTCCAGTATTGTTGTTTGAAACAGCTTCTATTTCTGTAGAAGGATCACATTCCAGTAAATCTGCTTCTGCTTCCAAATCTGGCCCCCTTTCCAAATCTGCTTTCTCTTCCATATCTGCTTCTTCTTCTTCCTCACCAACCACAACATCATCATCGCTTTCTAAACGAACGCTAATAGAACTCTCTGATTAGCTAGAAACATCTCTATTTGTTCTTTTTGTTTCTGTTCTTGTTTTCTTGTTTTCTTTGTACTTGTTTTCTTTTTTTCTGCTTTGTTTTGTTGTTCATGTATCTTTTTTGCGAGTCTTTCTCTCACTTCTAAATCTGTCAAGATTTTAGCAAACTTTCGTGTACTCGACTGCGTTTATTAAAAGTCCTTTTCTGGTCATTGTCCTTTTTCAATACCGATATAATGGCTAGTTTAAGTCCTTGTTTTACACTCTCACATGACGGTGTGCTAGTCAGGTCGGAAAATATTGACGGAGTATCGTGATTATCATCAACTGCAAGGTTTTCTAACGCTACTGGGCGAGAATAAGCACCTGCTTTAACCACCTCTGCCGTAACAATTTTCTTCATCATATTGCCTTTGCAAAGCGGATAAATCCCAGACCCACTAAACCCACCGATCGCATTAGCTCTTGACAGACATCCAGAATTTTCTAGCTTTTTCATAAGCGAAGAAAAAACCAATTTGTCAACATTCTTGTAACCAGTCTCTTGATAGTATTCTCGTAGAACTTCCCTCCAGGACTGTGTGACGTGTGAGCTGGCAAGCAGAACATTTCTACGTTATCCTCAACAGCTGCTTCTACAAGTTTCTATAACTGCTAAATATATGTGCGAGTTATGACCATCGAGAATTAGTAATTTCGTTCCTTCGTATTCTGAAGTTTCCGGTACCAATGAACCAATCAAAAAATTGAGCCGATTCCATCCAGCCAGATGGGGAACAGTTGTAACGAGCATTTGCGGGACCATTAACACACCAAGTATGGTACAACCCTTTGTAATTAATGAACATCGGCAAAAAATCACCAAGCACATTAGAACTGTGTACGTAGCTTTTGTAGAACTGGCAACTAATTTATTTGGATTACGACTTTCTCTCCTACAAAGCACCTTTTAGACACCAGCATCGGTTTGAAATCCGGTCTCATCGCAGTTAAATATATTTTGTGGTTTGGTCTGTAAGCCACATCGGTTAACAACCAACTCTAGTTTTTGATAAAAGTCCATCACTTCCTGTGATCCTGCCATTGCCCTGTTTTTTGGCAGGTTTTGCGCTACATTTCTACTGATTTTATGAGACTATCTTCTTGTAAACATCAGGCACCAGTCTGCATCTGGCATACCATTGACAAATGAATTGGGCCCATCCATTCGCCTAACATAATCTTGTACGCAACGTTGTAGTTAAAATCGGTCGAAACCATAACCCCACTCTCCCAGTTTTACCAATGAATGAACCAAAAGCTCTTCCTCTTGATGTGTAAGAAGTGTTGGTCTACCAACATTCTTGCATTTTATCCCCTTTACATGATTTAATAACGTTGTTCTATTATTACCATGACGTTCTGCCGATATTTTACAACTTTCGCTATTTTTCACTTTTTCAACTGCTTTCTTCATTTCTTCACTATAATACTTCTTATAACTTCGGGCATCAGGGCGCCTGGGTTTTTTGGGCATCTGAAACCACAAAGATCATTCTATAGTTTTCTGAAACCACAAAGATCATTCACTTTTAGTCCAGGGGTAAGATTGACACTGTCATTCTTAAACGAGCTGGCAATATTGACCATGTCAATGTTCACATCAAGGCTAACTTTGACACTGTCAATTTTAACCTATACACGGAAAATGCAGAAAAAAGCTGTTTACAACAACAGTGTGTTCTAATATTAAAAAGTATAAGTGGTAATTGATTAAATACCATCCACTTACCTTGTTCAGCTAAATTACGTTTTTGAAACGGCCGTTTGTTAAAAGTTCCTTTAGCACAAAATTCACGTACCACCATCCGTTGACTCATGCGCAGACATTTTGTAAAGCCAAGAGTGTTGCCGGAGTCTCGGCACTTCGCTGTTAGATGGCGCTAGAGTAGGAGTATTTATAGATACCTTTACATTGGCGTTATCTTTATTAGCAGACGAACAGAAAACTAAATTCAAACAAATAATGTCAATGTTGTACCAGTGTCAATGTTGGTCCGCGTTACCTTATAAAGTTTAAAAACATGCTAGAATAGTAAGGGCAAACAAGTTTTATTTTAATAACAAATTGCAAGATTTGCAAGATTTTTATAAAATGAAAAGAAAAGGAGTTTAATATTTTTTATTCTATAAAAAGAAACATTCACAAGTAATGCTTCAATTAAACTCAATTTGATTTTTATCCTCTTCAGTTTCTTCGACTTCAGTTGTACAAATTCCTCCACTAATAGCATTTCTGTAAAGCATGCTAGTCAGGCATGGGTGCATAATCAAGAAGATCTTGTAAGTTCTTTTTCTTTTTTTCTGTAAGCTTCAGAGCGCCCTGGTATTTGGGAAATTCTATACCATCTAAGTTAAAATTTATTACATCGTGAAGTTTCTTTCGTCCCTTTTGAAGTATGACATTTGTAGGAATATCTATGTTATATGCGATTTGAATTTTAAAGATCATCTTAAAGTCATTTGAAATTCGTCGATTATTCTGAGATCCTTGAAATCAGC